CTCGCGTGCGGCCTGGCTCCGCCGGCGGTCGCGGCTTACTTTTTTGGCGCTTCCATGGTGGGTCCCCCAAAACGACGGAGGCGCCCGCCCGCTTGCCGTCGGCGAGACGTTCTTCCGCTTGGTGGGCAAGTGCCTCTGCAAGGAGGTGGCTGAGGCTGCCCCGCGACCGCCTGGCGCCCCTCTGGTTCGGCGCGGCTGTCCTGGGAGGCGCGGAGGCGGCTATCTAGGTGGCCGGGCAGTGGTTCACGCGCAATCAGGGCAACAGGGGCAACGCTTATTTCGCGCAGCTGGACCTCTAGAGCGCGTTGAACAACACCCTGGGCTGGAGGGTCATCCTCGAGAGCAGCGCATGAGGACCATCCCGCGCTGGCACCGTGGGCGGAATCGTGCTACGACAGCCCCCCACTACTTTTCCTCGGCAAACAGACGCTTCGTTCGGAGTGCGGATTCCAGCAGGGCGACCCGCTTGGCCCGCTGCTCTCTTCTCCGACACTCCAGCGCTGCGCGGAGACGGCGCGCCGCAGCCCCAGGAGCTCGCGCAGGGCGCCAGCCTGGACCTCGATTCCTCGACTTGGGCGACCGCTGCGTGGCGGGCGACAGACAGGCCGCGGCCCGCTTCCTGCGCCTCGCCGTGGCCGAGGTTGCAGCGGTCGACCTCGACCTCAGCGCGGGGCCTGGCAAGTGCGAGATTGCCCCTGCGGCAGGGGCGGACAGTAAAGCGTCTGCGACCGACTCTCCATTGGGCCACTGGGCCCCCGACTGCGCTCTGACGGCTGCTTCGAGCTCCTCGGCGCGCCCATTGCGAGCGACGGCTCCGGAGCCGCCAGCGCGCGCAGAAGCGGGCAAAGAAGGCCGCGGAGCTTGTGGACGCGCTGGCAGGCATGGAGAACGCGCATGCGGCTACTCTGCACCCTCTCCAGCAGCGCGCTTCACACAGCGAGGTCGGCTGCTCAGCGCGCGCGGCGCCGCCCGCCGCCCGCGCCGAGGCCCCGCTGAGCTGGGCGCCGCCGCCCGCTTCTGCCCGGGGCAACTGGCCCGCGCTTCTCTCGCCGACGACTCCAGGGCCACGGCGCAATTGAAACTGAGCAACAGGAGGCTCGGGGCTGCGCCCCGCCGAGGAACGCTCGCGGCGGCCTGCCTCTCCTCGCGCAACGAGGGCAGCGGGCTCTGCCAGTCCATGCGCGCGGGCTACGCAGACCAAGACGCGGGCGACGCCGGGGCCCAGGCCGCGGCGCTCCAGGCCCGCGGCGCCTGCGCGGCTGAGGCAGAGCGAGCGCTGCGCTTCGACGGCGAGACGCACTCTAACCAGCGGACTCTCTCGTCGGCGTCACCCCAACATACTTGCATTATACGTGCGCCCCCCCAGGGGCGACGCGCGCGCCGAGAAATCTTGTAGCATTTGCGTCGTGGTGGGCGCTTTCGGGCCACGCCGCTCGGGGAACGATATGCTACAATATTGGTGTACTGCACGTTCGGGTCGGACGCGAGCCTCCGATAACATGTATTATTCGTGTGTCCCTGTGCGCCCCATCTCGGACAAGGTCGACGACGCCGCGCGCGCCCCCCTCTGGAACGTTCTGCCCTTCGCCCGCGACGCGCCCGCGCCTCGCCCTGGCGGCCGCGCCCGGCGCCGGCGCGCGCCTGCAGGCGCCCTCATGCAGGGCGCTCGGCACGGCGGTCTAGCGCAGGCCGGCGCAGATAGGGATCGCGCGGCGGCTCTGGGCCCAGCCGATGGACGAGGAGAAGTTCTGCCTGGCGCGCGGGGAAGTCACGGGCGCGCGCTGCGACCGCGCCGCGACGCGCGCCTGCCAGGGTGGCAGCGCGCGCCGCCGCCGCCGCTAGCTGCGCGTCAGCGGCGTTGTCTTCGACGCCCAGGCCACTGGCTCCTCGGAGGCGGACCTGGAGCTGCCCATTCTGCTGCCGCCCCGGGCGCCCGCCCGGCGAGGGGCCCCTCCCCGGCGCCCCGGGGGAACAGGGGCGAGAACCGCGCGCCCGCGGCGAGGATGCGCTCAGCAGGGGAGAAAGCCGGGAAGGGGAAGGAAGGGGTGGCCCCAGAGCCTTCCCGGCCTTCGCGCCACGGCCACCGACGCCGAGGCCCCCGCGTAGGGCCCGGGTCGCAGCCCCTCTGAGCCAGAAGGGCGCGGCCTTGCGTTGGGACTGCGCCGGCCACCGGGGGCGCCGAGCGGGGGGCGAAGCTTGCCCCTGCGCGCGCCAGGAGTGCGAGAGGGGAAGCCCTCTCTCCGCGGAGGAAGGGGCAGCACCTGGCGGCGATCGATCGGGCCCCAGCCGCAAATGGGGAGTGGTCGTTTTCCAAACTTAATTGGTCGCGTCTCGGGGCGGTGTGGTAGGGGTGGGCCGTGTAAGATAGCAGTGCAGGTCTTATTCCTCCTCCTGCCCTGCCTGTCTTTCGTGTCCGCTCAAGCTTTTTCTGGCTCGAGGTCTCTCGAGCCAGGAGCTCGCGCTCGCCTCTCCGCCCCACCAACTGGGGCGCTCGCGGCGCGGGCGCTGATCGTCTGCACCACGGCGGGGCGGTGGTGGTTCGCCAACGCCGCCTTGCTCTCGTACATCGGGGACTGGGGGGGTCCTCGACGCGCCCCTCTCGAGGCCGCTGGTGGAGCCCGAGGACGACGCGTCCCAGAAGGACACGAGAGAGTCGGAGCGGCTGAGCCTCCAAGACTATCGGCGGGCTCGCATGTCTAGCGTGATACGATGGAGCCGCTTCTATCGGACGATGGCCCCGTGACGGGGGCAAGTGCGGATGTACCCGAAGAAGAAGAACGACACAAGTGGGATCTACGTGAAGCTGGACCACGCCCTCATGGTGGGCGGCATCAAGGGTCGGGCGACGCGGTCGAGTCGTCGGCGGCCTGGCTGGGACTACGTGTCCTTCCCTGCCCCCGCGGCCAGCGAGAGGACGGGCGTCCTGGAGAAGGCCCGGGAGAGGCCGCTCGAGGCCGAGCTGTATCTGTCCAACGCTCACGGCTATGGGGCCTCCTTGCCCTGGTTTCGCTCTGGGCTAGCTGGCGCGTGGAGCACATGGAGCTGGGGGTCGACGGTGGGTTTCGCCATCTTCTCTGGGGGAGGAAGTGGCCGTCTCTGGCAACCTGTGGCGGTGGACGCGATGGGTGGTGGAGGAGCTCGAGGATGACCACCACTCGCTCCTCGTAGCCGACTACGTCCGAGGCGACTGTCGCGACCTCTACCTAGGCGGCAGGCTCGAGACTTCCATCATGATCTTCACCGCTTCTGTGGCCCTCGGGCCACGTCTCTGGAGTTGCTGCCAGCAGATGCCATCGCCACGGCTAGCGGGGGAAACGCCTCCAGGGATCGCCATGGACAGCGACGGGGAGGCGGGCCCCTCCAGGCCGGGTTCGTCGGACGAGTCGGTGCCAGCCAAGGGCATGCAGGAGATGCCAGCCACGGGGAGCAGCCTGTTCGACGAGATCATCCGTCCACGGTCGGAGTCGCGTCGTGCCCGCACGAGTCAGAGCACCTCGTCGGCAGCGTCCCCTGGAGAGAGCAGTCACGCCAGCGGGAGATGATGACCCCGTGGCGCGACCGAGCCCCGCCTGGACCGGCATGTAGACAGGATGATCGACTGGTTGAAACGCTTCGAGGACACGAGCAATGCGGACAAGGCCTCGCAGGGATGCCAGCCCGCGCAGGCCGCGTCGCCCACGGCGGCCACGTCGGGTTCTGCGACGTGTCCTTCCATCGACCTGGGAACAACGGAGACGCTGGCGGGCGCGGGGGGAAGCCCCGAGCCGTTGATGAAGGTATGCTAGGGCCCCAGGGAGCAGGCGCTGGCCGACCTCGGGAAGATCGATGCGCTGCCCACCGTCACCCGCCTCGCGGGCCCCACCTCTCACGTGGCGCCAGAGTTGCTGGTCAAGACCTACGAGGCGGACGCCAGCTTGGGCAAGTTCGCGACGGACTGGGTTCGCCCCAGTTAGCCGAGTCGCGACCACCTCGGCCACCAGAGGAGGCTGCACTGCATGAAGCGGGATCGGAGGTCGGAGGCCTCGCCCGAGATCGCCCAGACGGCGAGGTACGAGACCCTGCGCGCCCGAGTCTACGCGCCGATGCGGGCGCTCGAGGACGCGGCAGGCATCATCGACGGGAAGCAGCCTCGGGACAGCGGGGCCGACAAGTGGATGTCCAGGGTGTGCTGGGACCTCACGGACGAGCTGGACTGGAGGTCTCTCACGGAGGGCGAGGAGGCGCTCACGAGAGTGGAGCGCTACTTGACGGCCAGGCTGCAGCAGAGGGTTCTTCAACATGCGCATCCGCAGATGGAGGGCTCGGACGCGGCAACGGAGGAGGTCGAGCAGACGGGGGGATGGTCTCCCCCGTCCGTGGAGCCCTGCGGGGCCCCCCGCACTTGAGGGAGAGGCTGGCGGTTTACCGTTCCGTCCGCTCTGACGGCGGCCACTCTTGTGGGCTCACTCTCCCGATAGCTGTGGTGGTGCTCTTGCTGGTCGCGACGATATTTTCGCGTGACACCGCATCCCTCGGGAGGCGACGACATGCCCGTTTTTCTCCATCCACGCGTTTCTCCATCGTCTACCTCGACAGCAGCCGCGGGCGTTCCTCCCGAGGCCGTTCCTCGAGACCGAGACCCTCTGCCGGACTGGCCGCTGCTGCCCTGGTCGGTGGTGGCGGACCGCGCGGGGCCGATACATCAAGGTACACTACGACGTGTGTGAGCTCGCGCCGACGGGCTGCTCCGATCCATGCCTCGCCCATTTCGGGGCAGGGCCGGAGCGGCCGAGGGCGTTGGGCCGTCGGCCGCGTGGGAGCGGGCGACACCGCTCCAGAGGGCTACTTCGAGGAGGCTCCTGGAGGCGTGGCTAGCTTGGGGCAGCCAGGTGGCCGCGATCAAGGTGGACGAGGACGCTGCCCTTTGGCGCGTCACGGCCGATCGGGCCTCGCCGTGCTCAGGCGAAGGGGCTTTCGCTGCCCTGGGAAAGGATTCAAAGGGATGAGAGATGCTACCGAAGGGCGCGGTGGTCTCCGTCGACGCGGGGGAGTCTGCTCGCCCGCCACCAGAGACCAACCCTGCCAGGACCGTGGACATCTGCCCGCTAGCCACCGAGGACCTCTCCGACGGTACGGGAAGGATGCCACGCAAGCCCAACCCCGCCATGGAAGAGGAGCTGAAGGGCCAAAAGGTCTACCGAGATTCGTCTTTCCGATCGAGGACATGTCTTCCCATCCTGGCCGAGAAGCCCTGGGAGGCAGGGATGCTGGGGACCACCGACGAGCTGGTCGAGGGCGTGCCGCTCTTCGGGGTCATCCAGAAGTGCTAGCGGGAGGAGGCGGACCCCCTCGGCCCCGTCAGGCGCCAGGTCCGCGCCATCTGGGACTGGAGGCGGGCCAACCTCCGCTGGCAGACGCCCATGCACGGGCCCCTGGGCAGCTCCGCGACCCTGACCAACCTGGACCATTCCAATCTCGGCGAGACGGACGTGGTCTACACAGGGGAGGGCGATATCCCCGACAGGTTCGAGCGCTTCGAGACGCCGCCCGATGTCTGGCTCTACTTTGTCTTGGAGGGGCTGCCCCTCCACGAGTTCTTCGACTACATGAGGACCACAGGGCAGGGCTACGTCATCCCCTATGGCGGGCCCCTCCTGGCGGTGAAGGTCTTGGTCAAGGGCCTCTGGCCCACTCCAGGCCGAAGGCTCTCACGGCGCGCAGGCTCGGGGCGGACTCCGGGGGTGCGCGCCTGGTCTACGGGGCTCCGACGCACCAGTTGATCGGGCCCGTCGAGTTCGAGTCAGAGAGCTGGGCGTACATGGACGACTACGTGGTCGTGGCCTCGTACGCCAGCGGGCGGCAGCCAGTGAGCGAGGTCGTGAGGAGGCTGACGGCCCGAGTCAAGTACTACTTGGGGAAGGTCGGGCTCCCCGTCCACCAGGAGAGAGAAGGCGAGGGGATCGAGTCGTGGGGTGCGGTCATTCGAGGCCGACCTTACACTGTCTCGGCCAACATCGATCGCACGTGTGGCCTGGCTCTGGCGGCGCTGGGGCTGGCGGTGCGGACATGCTGGACCCCAGAGCCACCGTGAAGCTGTGGGCGTGGGCGGCCATCTCGCAGCGCATGGGCCTCGCCATCCGCGACCGTGTCTTCCGCGAGATGAGGCGCCCAGAGACCGCCAGGACGCCGTTCTGCCTACCAGACGCGGCGCGGTGGGGGCTGGCGACGATGGCCTACTGCGCCACGCTCAGGCACACGGATCTCGAGGCGCCCTGGCTCTCGCAGGTGTCTATGACGGGTATGACGGACTCCAAGGACAATGGCCACGGGGTTGCAGTCACCGAGGCCTCGCTGGAGGAGATCAGGACGGCTACTACGGGCTACACCGGGATGAGAGGGTGGACGATCGCCACCGACGCCTGGGTCCCCCACGTTGGGGGGTGTACCTACGACGTGGACGAGCTCGACGATGCGTCGGCTACACCTCCGCCGCGGGTCAGTCGGAGGGTCAACCAGGCGCTCTACCTCTTCGCGGGCAGGCGCCGGGAGGGGGACCTGGAGGAGGCCATCTACGCGCGTGCGGAGTGCGACGGCTACGAGATCCAGGTCTGGTCCATCGACTCGGTGATCGAGCCGAAGCACGACCGCCCCAACGACGAGCTGGTCAGCGCGATTCTGGGCCAGACGCGCGACGGGCACTTCCACGCAGTGATTGCCCCGCCGCCATGTTCCACCTGGAGTCGAGCGTGCTTCCTGAAAGAGAGGCCCAGGCACCCGCGGACGCGCCTCGAGCCTTGGGGGCGGAGCGACATACTACTCGCCACCTTCGAGCACCTCCGCCTGGACCTTGGGTCGCGCCTCCTGCTCACGGCCATGCAGGCGGTCCGCGAGGTCTGCCGAACTGGTGGCCTGTGCGTGACGGATCACCCCGCGGACCCAGAGGAGGACCTGTACACGTCCATCGGGAACCCCCCCGAGATGGCCTGCCTCTGCGAGGGGGCGGGCGGCCAGATCCATCAGATCGACCAGGGCCGCTACGGAGCTTCGCCGATGGAGTCGACCATGAAGGGCATCTTCGGGGTCTACGACGACGCACTGGACCTCGCCGTGGGCCGTCTCCGCCCGAGAGGCAACCACCGAGGGAGGCATCCAGCGATACTCGAGGGGCGAGTGGAGCGGGGCCGCCCCGACATCTGCACCGCCTCCGCCCAGGCTTGCCAGCCCCCGCGGTGCGCCGCGCGAGGGAGGGCGATCCTCGAGGCGTTGGCCCGCATGACGAAGGAGATAAAGGGCCCCGATCCAGCGTGCTCGTGGGCCTCTCCAGCTACGACGCCATTTGGGCCTCCGAGGCCGGGAGGGGCGGAGATCGAGGTCCCCCCCGCTGCCCCCTGCTTGGATGCCACCTGCGAGATGGCGGCCACTCTACGTCCGAAGGTGGAGGAGCACGGAGCACACGAACACCAGCGAGATGCGGACCGTGGTGGGCGTGCTCCGACACCTTGCCAGATCGCCACGGAGGCGGATGCTGAAGGTCCTGGGCTTCACCAACGGCATGGTGGCCCAGGGAGCCCCAGGCGAGGGCCATTAGAGCTCATCAGCCCTGTTGCGCCTGGGCCACGGGCACTACCGCTACGTCCCGCTGGGGCTGAACGTCGCCGAAGGCCTCTCTCCAGGATGTCCCTTGGGAGCAGCGCCTGAAACGGTGGCAGCCCACTGCGACCGACGCCCCGCTCCGACGGACAGCCGACCTCGCAGTCTACGCGACCTGGGCCACACGGGTACGGGATACGATGGTGGCTAGCAGCCCTGGCGTTGGAGGCAATCCACCCCGTCGGAGCGATTCGCCCGAAGCCGCACACGGCAGGAGACGTTCCCCTGCAGAGGCGGGGGCCGCGGGCGCGGGACAACTACGAGAAGGGGACGTACCTGGGCATCCGCGAGGGCGGCTCCACAAGGCGATTCACCCACTCCGTGGCGGACGTGATCACGGTACAGTGGGCCCCGAAGGTGCGGGATATTCTCAGCTACCGCGCCGACAAGGGTTGGGGGCTTCGGTGCAAGAGCGCCATGGGCCACGCCCTGGCCGACTACAGGGACATGAAGTGCTACCGAGACCGACTCCACCCCACATGGGGGTCGATCGTCCTGTCAGGGCGGCTGGGGAGTTGGCCTGAGCTGAGGCGCCAGTTCTCCTTGGCCTTGCGGAGCTTGAAGAGTTGTCAGAGGTTGGTCGCCCCTGTGGAGGGAGGCCCGTGGCCGGAGGAGGCCGTCTTCGCCATCGCCGCTTACGTTCTGGAGGGGGGGCTCCTGGACGAAGCCATCGGGACCCTCATGCAGTACGACGTCTACGGGCAGGCGCGGGATATGGCAAGGCCGCACGAGGCCGACATCAGTTGGGACGGCCTGGATGCCGAGACTTCCCGAGCTGGGGGGGGCCCGCGCCAACTACAGCAAGCAGCAGAGGCAGCTGGTCGACAGCAACAAGACGAACTTGAAGATGAAGAAGGTGAAAGAGGTCGCCACGGAGCTCGCGACAACTGGATGGTGGGGAGAGCGAAGCGACAGGCCAAGCGGGGGCGCCCGAGTGGGCGGCTAGGGGCGCCATGCGAGGGCTCCCTAGAGGTATGTGGCCTACGGGCGCGACCACCACCCCGATGTGCTCTTGGCCGATCGCATGATGAGAACGTTGTGGTCCCCGCCCGCCCACCCTGGACTACAACCTGAAGTATTTCGGCTACGCCAGGCACATCCAATGCGGAAGTGGGAATGAGAATATTCTGATGCCGATCGCAACTCGAGTTTTTGATGATTGTTGTGATTTGGTTGAGGTTATACACATCTCAATCGGCCTCCCGATGAATTACATTATATATTTGCCCGTCGGGGCCCTCGTGCAGCGTGTGGTTGAAAACGTACTTCCTATAGGCCGCCTCGCGGCGTTGCTGCACGTCCCGCTGACTGAGACCGCGTTGTCATAGTCAGCTTTGCTGGCCCCCCGCCTGCCCCCTGAGACATTGCGATAAGAGGGGTTCCCGAACCATGTTCGACGCTGGGACGCCACGAGGAGGGAGTGCGAATCGTTCGCGCCCCTAGAGGGCAGGCTAAGACCTGCTAAGCCAGTATCTCGGAAAAGCGGAGTGGACCGTCCTCGACAGCCATCGCACCGCGCTCCGAGTGCACCCCTCGGGGGGCCCGGAGACCCCCGAAGTGGCCGAACGGGCAAAGGCCACGCAGCAGGCCGAGCAGGACAAGGAGACCCAGCGGTTCCAGAGACGATCGATCTCCCCTCGTCTTCTGATCCATCAAGCCAATCTCTTGGCCATGAGCATCTCAAGCTCAAGAAAAAGAAGGATGGGGGGGGCCCAGATGACCCCAACCTTGGGGACAGCAAGCAGCAGCGACATGCGGGGCAACCTGCTGATCGACAACGACCCAGAGGACCAGCAGTGGCCGCCGCAGCAGCTAGATTTCAGGGCACCAGTACGCCTACTCCAAAAGAGCCTGTGCCACGTCGCGGCCCTACACCAGGTCGGACGCACAGGACAGGATGGGTGCCTGCGCTGGAAGGAAGGACAAGGGATGCGCCCTCTACGCAACGTGGTACTGAGAAGCTCCTTGCTACCACGCCAATGGTGCCAGGAGCAGTGCCCAGAGATAAGACTGCCGAGTCCTACTACATCAAGGAGAAGAAACGCCAGGACTTCGATATCAGTGCCCCGCAAGGAACTCCAAGGACGCCCAGAGGATCTGTTGGCGGTGCCGCATCGGCAGCGAGCGCAGCAGCGCCTGCCGCGCCAATGGCTGCCCCACGTTCTGCAGGGCAACCTGCCCCTGCGTTGGAGGCACCACCGGACTGTAAAGAGTTGTGGGAAAGGATGCGCACTTCCAACCGCACGAAGATCGATCCAGCGTATCACCCGCGGAATGACGATGGATCTGACCGATACTTGGTGGTGCAACACAACATCATGGACACTGCTGTCCATCATGACCAAGGTGCACACACGCGCCAACTAGTGCGCAACATCCTGCGAAACGACCAGCACTCACGTTTGACTCTGAAAGGGAATATTTGGAAAACATCCTCATATCAGAAAGCGTTCACATGCCGAAGTTCAAGTACGGGCCAATTTTCGGACATATTCATTCGGGAAGTGACGACGTATGATGAGTACGACGGATGGTCAAGACTATCACAGCTACTCAACATATGGCCTGCGGAAGGATATGAGGGCCACCACCACCAGCACTTGGACACGGTACGTTACAAGCTCAAGAACCAGCACTGGGCGTACCAGGCGCATGCTGTCTTGGAATTTAATGGTATGGTTGATGAGTCTGGAATGAAAAAGAATAGGCAGCAGATCACGAGAACCGCGACACATTCTTCATCTGTCCAAGTAACGGACATGGCAGCCCTGGTATTTTGTGCCCTGAGTTTTTGTACATGAGAATTACGGAGCTGTCCGCTCCTGGGGCACCATCTTATCTCAGTCATGGAACTACATGGGAGAACATACATAGTATTCTCAGCATTGGATTATCATGCTGTACCGACGACACCATTAAGAAGAGGGGCGGACAGTGTGTACATGGCTTCCCATACCCTCCTGGTGACAATCGGATTCAGTCCGGCTTGCGCGTCGATTCGGAGGTCCTGATTATGGCCAGTTTGAAGAACCTGGTTCGGGGCAACATTCCGATTTGGCGCCCAGCTAACGACATCGTCATGACAGCGGGCCGGAATGGCAGGGGTCCTCCTATTCACATCGCCCAGTTGATTGGGATCTTGCCCAGCCAGACTTGTCAGTTTAATCGTGCGGGACAGGTATGGATAAATCCTTCTTATATTTGCGGGACAGCAATCAGCCGTTTCCGAGTGGTAGAAGTGACGATATGTACGAGATCCGCAATGATGCATCATCTTTGAAGATTTTTCTTTTCAAATACCCCCTACAACTTGGTCCCGATCCGCCTCTGGTTCAGGAGGTCGTGTTCTATTGTGCTCGTGATGGACGCATGTCATGCGGGGACACCTGCATGGGGGATCTGATGGACCATGCATACAGGCTCAGAGCGCCGATGTGACAGGTAACACACCAAGTGGTATTACGCCCTCCGACACTTTGTACGTCAACGGTCCGTGGCGCGCTCATGTAAACAATTGCCAGTACCCGCAGGGCAACCTGCCTCATTTGCTCCTATGAGCAGAGCTACTACACCATTTGGTACTCCACAGAGTGCTGGGAGCAACAACAGCCTGCAGGCGAGGCTCCAAAGCATTCGGATGGATCCGCAGCTTTATCAGGCTTTACAAGCGACATCGCCATTTGCATCGCCACGTCCACATGCTGGGCAACCTGCTATTCCTGACCAATACACCATACAGAGAAGTTCAGTTGGTCAGCAAGAATGGATGTATCGGCAGATGCGTGAGGCCGCTCAGAGCATGCGGAGGGATGGCATTGACCTCCCTAATGCCAACTGGACGCCGCCGTGGGAATATGTTCCGGATCCAAATCCATCACTGGGCAACCCCAATCGGTTCGGTTATGTGCCAGCATTCTTCAGTCATCCGACTTACGATCCAACGTCTGCTGATCGTCCTACAGCAGCGCCAATGGATCGTCCTTTCTATCCTGACCATCATGCCCAGGTGAGTGGTATTCTTCGGGTGGGAACACTGCCTGAGAACCCATATGTTCGAGCGACGGCCGACGACTCCTACCAGTCGGAGTTAACACGTGGCTCAGGGCATGCATCAGGTGTGCCAGGACAGATACCTCACTATGGTTATCTGGCTCCCTCCATGGATCACGATGTGCAGCAACAGGCCCCAGGCCTAGTGCTGCCGCCGACCATGGGAGAATTGCGCCCTGAGATCCTAGCTACGCACGAGGCGCAGCAGGCCAATTTGGCGATGCAGGCTACTCGCCAGCGCCGGAATCAGGATCGCCAGGCCACCAGAATGCTGGACCGCGCGGGGCAACCTGCTAATGGCAATACAGCAGGGACACCTGCGAGCAGTCCAGCCATGGTTGCATCAATGCAGCTACCGACGGTATCACCTATTCGGTTCGAGGCTGGTGAATACACCCTGGAGCGTCAGACGCGAATCAGGCCATCGGCAACACCGCCCATCATAAGTGAGGGCGACTTCGGTAAGTGTGCCATATGCCTGGACCAGCTCGTGAATCACGACAAGGTCTGGCGCCTCCGGTGCGGCCGCATATTCCACGCACAATGCTGGGATCGAGTGGTACACGCTCATGTGGGTAGACAGTTGGCTGGGGACATGGAAGGTTCCGCAAGCGAGGCCCCCTGCGCT